GGTGTCCTTCCTAGGGGCCACCTGGGATAGAGGAGCGGGGGGTTCCCCCTGTGGAGTCCATCGGGATGGATGTGTGTGTGTGTGTCTTTTTTGCGGACACCCGCGACGGGGGGATAGCCCGAGGCTGGGGCTGCCGAGGCTGCGAGCTGTGAGGAAGCAGGTCCCGGCTCCGTGCCCCAGCTGTCCTCCTCGGAGCCCCACGCCCCGGTGGGACGGGGACTGTGGGCTTGGGCAGCTCGGTCCCTGCTGCGGGAGTACGACGGGGTGCCCCGTGCGGCTGTGCCGAGCGCTGGGGCCTGCTGCCTGTGTTGTTGTCGGTGATTGTGGTGTTTCTGGGTATCTCTGTGTTATTCTGAGGCCCCTGATCAAAATTAGGGCTTCTTTCACACCATGTTGTATGTGTTTCCATGAAAAGTGTCTCGGAACACTTGTGCATTTAAAAGAGATGGACAAAAAGTGGGCTGGGTTCATACTGGGATGTAGAGAAAGGTGATCAGGGCTGGCGTGCGGGGCTGGGGGTGTGTTAGCTGATAGTAAGGCTCAGTGATGGGCTGAATGGGATTTTGGGCTGCACATACGGGCTAAGGTGCAGGCAGAATGTGGCCCGGCTCATGCTGGGGGCTGGTGAAGGCCAGGTAATGCAGTGGTAGTGAACTACTGGGAGCAATAACAGTGGTTTTACATGTTTTGTTTTTTAAAATAATTGGCACTACAAGAGTTTGATGTTGTTGCTGGTGCGTGGTATTAATTTTGGAAATTTGGCTGAAGTCAGAATCCACTGTCCCATCCCAGCAGGGCATTGGTGGTGTGAAAGTCTCTCCCAGCACTCCCTAGTTGGGAATGCGCTCATGAAGTCCTTTGGGACAAGCAAGGTCAGGATAGTAATGGGGGTGTGTGTGTTAGAAATTCACCCAGTTGTTTCTAATACATGTTTTTAAAAGCATCATGCAACTGAAAAGCACGCACATCCCTTTTTTTATGTGAAAACCTCCAGCCTGACACCCGGAAGAGCTGAAATGGTTCTCTCTCCCTTTGATTTCAAACTTCAGTGACCTGGTTTTGACATGTCTTCAGTTCTGGATTAGACATCTTTAACATTGGAAATAACAGGCTTTCTTGCTACTTGCAGTTTCTGTAGCTTGGGGAAATGTTATTTTTTTTACTTCCTGTAGTACCTGAATTTCACAGAGGCTTTTTCCTTTCTTCAGCCTTGCAAAAACTTTACTGGGTACAGAAAGTTGTTCTGCAGCAAATTACTTCCTCTGTTCTTTGAGTGTAGTCTTGTGCGTAGTTATGTGTTTGATTTCCTCATGGTCTATAAATACCAAGTCTGGCAGCGTTGGCAAAATCTGTTTGGAGAAAAGTTGTGAATATCAGAGTATTTTTCTGAAAATAGTATCTCTCTGAAACTTCACCTTGCCTAATCCTTCACCAGTTTTTCCTCTCTCCCCCCAGATTTGGAAAACAGGGTGCAGAGTTGGGTGTAAGTTGGTGAGGAGATGCTCGAGGTCTGTGCTGGCATTCCTCACTCTGCCCCTTGCCAGAAATCTTTAATTATTCCTTAATACGGCCGGCTTCTTAGTCTGGCTCAGTTGCATGCTTCTGATGTGCAATGCCATTATTTTACCATAATACGATGTAAATTGAAATAAGAGATTCAAAAGAGTCTGCCGTCAGGCTTGGAATGTGCATTTGGAAAGCAGAATCGGGAACATCCCCTGAGCGGCAGTGCTAGGCGCTGGGCTGCCTGGGGGTGCGCCTGGGAGGGCAGGGTCATGGTCCTGAGGAAATCCTTGGGTGTAATTGCTGGGGAGCATCCGGAGCTCCATCAGTCTGTCCTATGTGCTGGGAGGGGCTGCGGGACCACCGGTCATTAGATGAACTAAGACCACAAAAGAGCTTCCTCTCCTCTGAGACTCACCTTTTGTATCTTCACTGGAGCCGAGGCTTTGCCACTAGGAAACAGAGCCAGCTGGGAGAGGAGGAAGGAAATAAAATGCATAGTTTCAGGATGCATATTGGCCCTCCTGAATATTCAGTATAATTGTAACAGCTAATTATTGTCTTAAAACAGCTCTAAATCCAGGCTTCGTGAGTAACTGGACCACGTTGTGCATTCTGCGGCCGTGTTACTGCGTCACTATGAAATGTCCTTTGTTGCCATCTCCTTCAGATGCATGGTTGTGACTGGGGTATGGCAAAACTAACTGGTGCCTAATTCCTAGCACTTGAGGGTGGATTTTTGCCGTGCTTTGCTGCTGGCCTGTCCCCAGCCCCGGGCTCTGTTGGTGTGTCTTCGGCAAACAGCCTTACTCACACTGACCTGTCTCCCAGCATCTGCCTATGAGCAGGGAGCTGAGCTGGCTGTTACCCGAAGGGTAAATCCTGACACGTCTCATCACAGTGTGCATCTCTTCGAGCAGTTGTAGCAGGGTGT